CCCCAAAACCCCAAAACCCCAAAACCCCAAAACCCCTATAATTCTCAACACGTTGATACTATTTTATATAATACAAATGGGAGGATGAAGTTGAAGGAACTCAACCAAGATCTGTACATAAACATGCTCATTTTTTTTACATAACCTAATGAAACAACCAGGCTTGCCTTACCTGCCTGGGTCTTCAGTACTTTGATCCTACGATTGTTCAGTTATTTATAGGTGTTATTATGCTCATATTATTTTGACATGGAATGGTATTAGATAAACTCTCCATTACTTGATATTCGTTGCTCAAATCTTGTCTTGAAATACACAATTTCTCAAATTCCGCTTCTTTGAGGCTGATATCTATACAGAAAATACTAAATGAGTTTCTTATAGACATAAAGGAGACTACTTTCAAACCAATTATTCAGGGAGCTTCAACCAAGATTTCAGAGGAAGACCAATGGAAAGTTATTTTTAAAAGTGTCTACGGAGATAAAAATCGTGATAATAATAAATTATTGTTGGCTCTAGACCCTCAACTGGGGATTCTTGGCCTATTAGACCTTATCTTTGACTACCTTAGTTTAGAAGATCTTCAAAAATGCCAAGGAGTGTGAAGATTATTCTGCCAAGTAGCATGTCTCGATAAACTATGATATAAATACTGCAGCACAGAGTCTAACCAAATCGACGAAACAATGCAAGTCAATGTGATTTCTCCAGATGAAAATGCTATGTCAGTGGCTCATCATTCTCCTGAGGTCGTAAGTATCCAACTGTATACCCCAAAATGTAGCAATGAGGGAATTTTAGCTAAATAGCCTGTGAAAGATTTTCCTTACAGCTAGGATTATTAATATGAGCTTGTATAATTTTTGACTATATAAACATTAAATAGTCTGCCTAGACTATAGCCTAAAACAAGTTACACTATTTTTCTCAAGGTTTCCCAATTTGGCAAGTTCATCTAAAATAATCTAAAATTTTAACTAAAGCAAGCGGCATTTTCAGACTGACTCTTGAGGCGATGAATCTTGTCTAAATCATCCATTTCCATGGCTTTGTGTGAGACATGAACTTTTCTTAATTGAAATAGCTGAACTAACAAACCTCTTAAAATATAGCATCTTCTTAAGTTAAGAAATATTACATGAGTTGGATAGTTTATATCAAAAAGAGGTCACTAAACCACAAGGGTTTAGCCGGCTATGAAAGTCATTTCAAACTTTCGAAGTTTTATTTCATCGAGGCTGATTTGCAACTGGTGATTCCATATTTTCTATTACTTTTTCACTGTTTAAATTATAACTTTGTGATTAATTTTTAGTACCTTCTCAGGCGGGAATTTATGAAAAATTTTACACAGATTTATCAATTTAGCTGTTAGGTCTAAGTTAAACTTCTCTTAGAATGATCTTCAGTCCTTTGAGAGTTACTTTTACTTTGAAAAATAACAGTAGCAAGAAAATTATTCAGGCTAGCCTATAATACTGTTCTTGAGCTTCTAAGGATATGAGCCACAAAAGTCCTATGTTCCTCTACTAAGTTTATTTCAACTTCTAAAGTTGATTAATTTTTTAAACTATATTTCTCTTTAAATAAGAGCAAAATTCTTGCTCTTATTCACCAAACAATTTAGTTTCCTAAGATTTCGAACAAATTTTTTATATTTTATGTCTAAAAATTGCATGTAGAGAACAAAAGCACTCATCCAGATAAAAAATCAGAAGAATCATCAAAGTGGTGAGGTTGCTGTTGAAAGGTACCAGACCCAGAAGCTATCAGTCGGAGGTAATTTCTTAAATCGTTTCCTTGAAATCTATTTTTAACACTATCGAGTTAGGTTCTCCTACAAGCCCTACAAAGACATTTACAAGGCCTGCAGATGAAAGCTTTTTGAAGCCCAAAATAGTTCAGAAATTCGAGAAGTATGGTAACATGCTTGCTCCCATTCGGGAGAGTTTCGAACAAGATGGTATTCTAAGCAGCCTTAATAGCAATAGCCTTAATGAGTGCCCAAAGTCCAATTTGCAAGAAGAACCCCGATATCGAATTGTAGCTATTTTCTTTCATCTTTAGCAAACAAGATGATGAGACTTTCTCCTCTGAAGATATCTCTTCAATAGAATCATCCATCTCTTCGAGTGATACTGAATCCTGAAAGACAGTGTTTGGCAAAGTAGGTTGCTGAATAAAGAAGCAAGTTAGCGTAATAATCATACTTTATATTCTGTTTTAGGTTGATAAGACATCTAATAATAGCGCATACTGAAAATCTCCCGCAATTCCAGTAGCCAAAAAGTAACTTCCTCAGCTAATCAATAGGATTTTTATCAGGATGAATTATGGAAACAAGGATATGAGAAGGTACTCTTTCATCTTTGGTGTGATCTCGATGCTTCTAGGCCCACTCTAGGTAAAACCATGGTTTTCAATGATCACATGAATGAGGTTTATTCAGATAATAGTCATTATGAGAAATGTTTGGTGACTATTGACTCACAGGATCTCTCTCATGACAATTTAAAGAACATCGTGAAACCTAAACCGAAATGCATGTCTAAATTTGGGAAAAGATATTCCTTGGCTGCAAGGCACTCAAGCGTCTTCAGTGAGGATGTAGAACCTATGGAATTCATCAGTAAGTCATTCTCCCATGCTTTGCTAATCTTCATAGAGAATCTTCCTGCTCGGATGCTTATAGGACGAGATCTACAAAGTATCGAGGAGTCAGTAAATGAGTCCAGTGACCTAATTCCTCTTCAGAAGATTCCAAGCCTAAGAAAGAAACGAAAGTCTGTCATGCCCCCACCTATGTCTTCTAAATTTTTCAGAGCTCAAGGTGTAAGCCCTGTCAATGAGTCTGAAGAAGGTGCTAATAACTAGATTTGAATATAATTTTCATTAATTTTGACTAAATAATAGAATATATGATTATTCAATAACTAGCTTGGGCCTCGGGGTTTTGGGGTTTTGGGGTTTTGGGGTTTTGGGGTTTTGGGG